AATGACGGCGGCCATGATGCATCGCCTGGTGCGCCAGAGCGAGAGCGAGAGAGAGAGAAGGGACGGAGAGGGACGGGCAGCCCTGGCGCTCTGTTATGGAGGAGAAAGGCGTTCAGCAGCAGCATGCGCACGAGGTAGGACGCACGCGGCCGGCCATGGCGGGGCGCTGCTCCGGTGCATGGCGTCCCACGAAGACAATCTGTCGAGCACGCATGCGCGCCGGAGTTGACATGGTGGGGAGCCAATTTGGGCCACTTCCGGGCTGAATCAGTCCTTGGGCCAAAAATGAAGTTTGCTCACCTCGGCCTACTCTACGTTTCTCATTTAAGGTGCCTGATCATTTGAACTCTGTAACAGCGGGTAATTAAGCCTCAAAATGACAAAGTGTCAACATGTTGATAACGGTCACGGGAACTCGCCTTCAGAGGTCAAAACTCGGTCAAACTCAGTGCAACTTTTTGCATGCTCTTCTCCATAATATAACATTCAACTTTTATTTTTGGACCAACTCCAGTTGCTTAATGAATTTCGGAGAACGCGAATGCCAACGTCGTTGCTTAGCGAAACTCCGGACTTAGAATATTTCTAAGTGCTGAAATCAGCAGCAGGTTCCCACTTCGAGCCTCTGTTTGACTTATTTCCAAGTTGATCTAGATCTTGGTCCAAAACAAAAAGTTTGTTCTACATGATATGTACTACAACTTTCATTTAAGGTCCAACCTCAAAACTGGTATAGAACCTGCTGTTCTACTTTGACCAAAGTAGGATCATGATGAAGCTTAAATTATCCTTTTGATCCATTGGAGCATTTTCTTGGCATTTGCCCAACATGAACCTTTCATGACTTTTGTTGTAGAGTTCATCTAGAGTCATTTGGGCATGGTTGCAAGATTTGGTTGACGATCGAGAATTCCATTCACTTTATAAATTAATTCAAGCAAGGACATAACTCGTCATTTCATGTGACTTTCTCGATTCCAAACTTCATGAAACTTTTCGAGTGCCCAATATAGATGGGTATTGATGTGAGACATATGAAGATATCCCAATCACACCACCCAAGCATATATCTTGAAAAGGGGTCTATAGGCGAGCAAAGGTGCAATATCCAAGTTTAGGTTGGGGCTCGTTTCTATAGGTTTGACATTGACATCTTCATCCTCACTTAATATACCAGGTTTTAGCTCAAACCCATTGCTTAACCGGTGGCAAACACCTGGGGTGTTACAACAGGAAGCAAGGAAGCTAGTTGTTCCTGGTTCAAAGAAATTGTTGAATGGTATATTTAGTGGAGAATGATTAATGCCAATGAAAGATAGCTCTTGTTCCTCGCAAAAAGGAAAAAAGATATCACTTGTTTTTATTTTCTTGGAAAAATATGATGTTATTTTTTATTTTATTTTGAAACGTAGAAAATAAAGATTAAATATTTATAAAACCTAAAACCAAGATCAGAGTTAAGTTGTACTAGATATTCAATGTTTCTCATAGCTATTTGAACTAGTATTTTGTATGAAAGGTTTGTAATATATTTATGGTTTTTTCTATTGTAAGTTCTACATATTTTCATGAACTCTTTGTGCCTCTCCAATGTTTGAATGCTCATCATAGAAATCCAAGTGTGCCACTGGGGCGAACTCCCCCACACTTAGCCTTAAGAAGACGTGGCAGGCTTCGAACGTGGACTGGTGACGGGTTTAAATCAACCCTTGGAGATCAGCATCAAACATATTCATATTTAACTCCTGGAGAAGTTGGCAGCAACCCTTCACTTCCATTAACCAATGACATTTCCTCACAAGTATGGAATCTATAGTGTCATCTCTCTTTCTTATGTGCTTATATTTGTTGGAGGAGAGAAGGGGCAGAGGTGCTGTTTGCGAGAACAGTACCATGGGAGAGGGAGGGAGGGCGGAGGAGATGGAGAGACAGAGAGCTACAAAGGTAGAAGGGAGGGGGGGGTGTTCCTATCTGGTTGAATCATAAAGAGTACAGGGGGCAGCTATTTGTAGAGGAGATTAAACTTGGCTCTCAAGCCATTCTATAGATGCACAAATGTTCAAAATGTCCAGATAGTCTACCCATCTCTGTTAGGCAATGAAGAAGATGCCGCCATGCTTGACGCAGCTCTCCTGCGTTTTCAAAAAAAAAACATTCTATAGATGGGATGTTATAGACTTATAGACATGACATGATCCCCTACTTCCTAACGTATCCTGATACATGCCTAACAAATGGATCTACTAGATTATTTCCTAACAACCTGATTCATCATGTAAAAAAGTCTCAGTTTTTCCCCCTCTATGTACAAGATAAGCAAATTTTCAAAAACCCACCATATCTGAACCATAGTTATTGAATACTTGATAGAAGTCCAAGTTGGTTGCTAAGGTTAGGAGCAACAGCCACAGATGAGGACCTAACAGAAAATAGCCACTGACTTACTGTTATCCCATGGTATTCAGATAGAGACCAGGAAAGATATCTGCAACAGTATCACTAGGAAGCAACCCCAAGGAAGGGGTATACTATACCGCACCACATTCTTGTATCTTTTGCATGATGCTGATGATCTTGGAGAAATTCTGAGCCTAGTTTCCATAAAGCACAGTAAGGGTTATCATGAGGTAAAGTGTTTTTTCATACTGCTCATATTCTTCTTTGTTTAATTTGTCGCCACCCCACCGATAACGTTCAACAAATTCCATTAAGTGCTCTGAACAAAATCTTGGAAAAAAAACCCTTGTGGTGTCAGTATCTCGACCATGCCCTGCACAGTTTTGGGGAAGTATCAACAGCTTACTGTGACTAGTTATTCACATAATACTTAATACCAAAAACAACAACATAGTAATAGGGATTCACAATAAGAGAGACAAAACGCCAAAGTCGAACATAAATGACACTTAGAAAGGAAAAGAGGCGCTTCAAAAAGTTGCACTTTGTGCTCATATATACTGAACGAAAGTACTAGCAAGCAGAGAGCTCCCACTCTGTGCGGTGTCTGGGGAAGGGTGTCAGTGGCAAGCCTTACCCTCGTCTGCAGTAAAATGCGAGGAGACCATGACTCGAACCCGGGACCTTCCGGTCACAGGCGGTAAGACTCTCACCGCTTGCACCAGGCCCGCCTTCATAGTTCGAGCAGCATCCAATCATATTCCAAAAACCTTCCCCCCCAAATAAAATAAAATAAAAATCATGTCAAAAGAAGTGATCTAGTGGTCTAGATGCCAGATCAAGTATGCTTCTCCTGGATATGAGTAATAGCAGATTGGTTCCATAGTTTAATAGAATATTGCTAAAAGAAAATAGATTCCTCAAATGACTAACTACCAAATTGGTCCCATAACATAGTAAGCATTGCAAGGATTGCCCTGTAAACTTCTACCAGTATCAAACATATCAGGAATAACATCAAATTTCAGTGTGTTTGTTTTGCAAAATTGTGCAACGGCCCAGGCAGCTGCACTAAACCTGGTTTGCTCAAATAATTTTAATCATGGAAATCCACTTTTCTTATCCAGTGTTATTAATGAGAAAAAATTCAACTGTTCAAGAAAAGTTTCTTTGATCCCTTCTAGGAGATATTTCATCTACAAACTGTAAATAAGAAACTAGTAAGGAATCGATGCATATATCCATAGACCAGAACATGAAAATTCAGTTAATTACCAATATATCTCGACACATGTTAGCGGATCATCTTGTCTGCCACATCAGGCATGAGCTGCCTGCCCTTATGTTCAGAGGAAAGGTGTTTCGTCACGAACCATGACTGATCTGGAAGTTCTGTCCCCAACAACAGCACAGGCTTATCTAATCCAAAATCACCAGCCTGAAAATAAAGGCCACAGTGTCAATTATCTCAAATCAGGGATCATGTTCCTTTTTTTTGACAGAGGTAACACCCAGCTTTTATAGAAAGCAAAGATCATGTTCCTTTCAGGGTCAAATTATCAATAACTAAACATTTCAACCAAAGGATCACACTATAGCTATTCAGGTAGCCTTCCGACTTCCTTATGTAATAAGCAAAGGCATCTTTGAAAAATAAAATTTCAAGGATGGAATTAACCTAATAAAGGATGTTCTGCATATATCCATATACGGATACACCAGAACATGGATTCAGTATTACCCGTGAAAGGATTCAGTAAAGTCAGAAATCGGATTTCAGTATTTCAGCACCAGTGCAAGTTTACTATCAATCCAACACACGGTTCCAGTTCCCACCACCCGCCGTCGCCAGTCGCCACTGCGAGGAAGCCACATATAGGGTTACGCGGTGTCTCGGCGGGAGTCGAGCCTCCAGATGATTGAAGAAAAGGGAGAAAGACTGGCGCACCTACGGGTGCTGGTCAGGGGATCAGCGTCCTTGGAACCGTCCATGCCGCGGTTGTGCCAGAGTGCTCAACTTTTGGTCAAGGCCGCCAACGGAGGTAGCGGCGGCGCTACCTCGGGAACCCCGACGCACCGTTGGATTTAAGGGATTCGGTGGATTTGCATTTGGGTTTGGGTTTTTCGAGGGTGCGGCCGTGCGGGAGATGCCGTTGAACTCGTTAAACAGTCACGACACGAATCTTTTAAATCTAATTAAACTATAATTAAATATCAATTATCAAATAACAACAAAAATGCTATAATATTATTTAAAAAAAATTCGTCAACTAAAGTTTGGTTAGGCCTCATTTAGATTGAAATTTTTTTTAACCGGATGAATAGTACCACTTTCGTCTTATTTGGCAAATATTGTCTAATCGTGGACCAACTAGGCTCAAAAGATTCATCTCGTGATTTCTAACTAAACTGTGTAATTAGTTATTTTTTTATCTACATTTAATACTCTATGCAAACGGCTAAAAATTAATGTGATGGAGAGAGAATGAAAAAACTTTGGAATGAGATCTAAACAAGACCTTAGTTCGTTGGCAGGCTGTCTGCCCACTAGTACATTGGTCAAGCTGGCAAGCCCCACTCCGGCCCTCGGCCTGCTCGCCGCAATGCATCACCAGTTCGCGCGCCTCGTGCCCACCGCCCGCCCCGCGCTGCCGCCGATCCACGGCGGAGCCGTCTGCCGGAGCTCTCCGCCCGACTACCGGGCCGTGGCGCTTCGCCGGGCGCCGGGCGCCTCCGCGGCTGGCCCGCGCGCGTGCCGCCCCCTCGCCGTCTCCGCCCAATCCATCAGCCCCCAAGCCGGCTTGAGGTCTCTCCGAATCTCCCTTTGTCGTCTATACTTCTTGGAATTTTGTTCTTTGTACTTCTTGGTTCACTGGACGTGGGGGAATCTTGAGATGCCGTCGGATTATTTACTTTGTGGTATGCACTCTGCTGTTGCTCACTTTGCTCTGGAGCATCTCCGTGGCGAATTTTGTAGCTATTCGGGAAGGGATCCACTAATTTTGCCGATCTCGTAGCATAACTGCGCCACAAATCCATATCAATTATGTGACTTATGGGTGCTGCTCGCTAGTAACTATGCCATTCTGTCATCTTTAGCTCCCTTTACACATCCACTAATTTTGCCGATCTCGTAGCATAACTGCGCCACAAATCCATATCAATTATGTGACTCATGGGTGCTGCTCGCTAGTAACTATGCCATTCTGTCATCTTTAGCTCCCTTTTACACTTACTGCTAATTATTTTGATTGTCAGGCTGGAGGAGAAGTTCTTTGAAGTGGAGATGAAGGTGCGTGACTATGAACTTGACCAGTACGGTGTTGTCAACAATGCTGTCTATGCTAGCTACTGCCAACATGGTGAGTTCTGTACATATTACAAACTCGGAAGTTAGAATGGAGTTAACGCTTGTTTAGGTAGCATATTCAGTCTTATATGCTATCATGGTTTGTTCTCTAAAATCTAATTCTTGTTTAGGTAGAATATTGAGATCCCGTATCTGATTCTATGCCTTGAAATTGAGCAGGTCGTCACGAGCTGCTTGAGAGTGTAGGCATTAGTGCGGATGCAGTGGCGCGCAGTGGGGAGTCGCTGGCCCTCTCTGAACTAAACCTAAAGTACTTTGCCCTTTGAGGGTAATGTGCTCCTTTCCTAAGCCATGCAGAAACCAAAATTGAAGAAATCTGATGAAATTATTTCAGCTTGAAACCTTGATTGAACATGTCACTGCATAGCAGTTTCTCTTGGTTCTGATTTGCCCCTTTATTTTCTTTCGACTGGCAGAGCGGCAACAAGTTTGTTGTTAAGGTGAGGCTTGCGGGCATCAAAGGTGTACGGATGATATTCGAGCACGTCATTGAGAAGCTGCCTAATCACGAGGTATGCAGAACACCAGGTTACACATTCAGAACCGAAGAAACAAGAAACAGCGTGGGTTTAAGCTCTTCTGCCACAATGTTATGTGCAGAACTCTGTGTGGGATTGTGTCAACCCATACAGTTACATGTTACTTTATGCATTTATGTGCAACCTCTGTATACAGCGAAAGATACATATATAACAATTTTCCACGACCTGTTTCTAATGGCAGCTAATTCTGGAGGCAAAGGCAACAGCTGTTTGCCTGAACAAAGACTACTATCCTACCCGTATTCCTCGTGAACTATTGTCCAAGATGCAGCTCTTCTCATCCGAGGACAGCAGAGGGTCAAATGAAGACGTTAATAATCGAATAACAGCTGCAACTAATTTTGGAGGCAAAGACAAGGGCTATTGTCTGAACGAAAGAGTACCATCCTATCTCCAAAATTATGTATGTCATCCAAGCTGCAGCTCCTCATCCAAGAATATAGCAGACCTTAAATGACTCTGATAATAATCGCAATAATAGTAGCATCTAGTTTTGGAAACTGGCGCCTGCTTGGTCCTGCAGTGTTGTCGAAAACCACCTATGTATCTCCATCTGAGCAGCACTGTCATAGAAGAGCACAGTCCATCTGCATTCTTTGTAACTGTACATCTGAAACATTTGATCTGCTACTGCAGTCGTTGTTTGGTACAGAAAGCTCTTCTTACTCTGGGGGAATGCATCTGCATGTTGTATTAAGAACAGGAAAGGAAATTGTCGGATGTAGGATCATGAGGTGCTGATGGTTCGCACCTGCGATCTGGGCTATAACCCAGGTGTCTACTGAATTAGCTAAACCTCATAGTGTGCAACATATGTTTGGTAACTGGTTAGAAGGTATTAGTAATAGTCTCAAGGCAGCCCCCACTTGTTGGTCCCTATGGTTAAGCAAAGATGCTATTATTTTTTTAAAGAAGAATTCTATTTCTCTTGTGCAGGTTATATACTCAATTATCCATTGGCTCTGTACTTGGTCCATTCTCTGGAAGCTGTATTTGCAGGGTTTGGTTGTGGCGGCATCGCAACAATTGGGATAGATGATCTAGGATATTTTTTCCCAGGCGCGTGCGTGGTGATCTAGTTTACGGATTGATAGCCACTAGAATGTGTTGGGCTACTCTCTTTTGTTGGTTGTGTGCTTATTTAAGCAAAGGCCGGAAGCGCTTTTCAAGACTTTTGTATCATCTCGATGTAAAGTGCTTGAAATCTATAAAAGCTTCCTTTATAAAAAAAAGGGAAATAGGAGGGTGAATCAAAGATTGGTTGAAGAGGAAATTCATATCCCCTTTTGGTGTGAGTTTTTAAGAAATTAAAGGACAAACCATGATCAATAGTGAGGATGTTTTCATCTTTCATTATAAACATAATTCCTATCCAATTTCGACCTGTTCCCAAGGGAATTGATTAGTGGAGTTGGTCCTATAAACCCCCCTCTTTCCACCAAAACTTCCACAACCATGAAATAAAGAAAAGATTTCTAAACTCCAAACTGTTATTTTCTCCTTTCAACTACCACCGACACAAAGTGTCATCTATAGTTCAATACTTGAATCCAAACTCTTATTCCCTCCTTTCAATTACCCATAACTAAATCTGTCATCTATGGTCCAATACTCCAAACATGACAGGTGTTTTGTTGTTGCTGGTTATATACCCCCAATTTGGATCTTAACTTCCTCGTGTCTAAAGAAGGTGCCACGTATGATTTTATCCGATGTGGAAAGGAAAGAAAGAGGAGTAAAAAGATGTCATCTAGTAATTAACAAATGGTCTGAGAACACAAGAGAAATCTCTTAGACTGGTCCTAGCATGAGTTTCATTCCTATTTAATAAGGTGATACACAACAACAACAACAACAACAACAACAACAACAAAGCCTTTAAGTCCCAAACAAGTTGGGGTAGGCTAGAGTTGAAACCCAGCAGAAGCCATCAAGGTTCAGTCACGTAAATAGCTGTTTTCCAAGCATTCCTATCTAAGGCTAAGTCTTTGGGTATATTCCATCCTTTCAAGTCCCTTTTATTGCCTCTACCCAAGTCAACTTCGGTCTTCCTCTGCCTCTCTTCACATTACTATCCTGGCTTAGGATTCCACTACGCACCGGTGCCTCTGAAGGTCTCCGTTGGACATGTCCAAACCATCTCAACCGGTGTTGGACAAGCTTTTCTTCAATTGGTGCTACCCCTAATCTATCACGTATATCATCGTTCAACTCGATCCTTCTTGTATGACCGCAAATCCAACGCAACATACGCATTTCATGACACATATCTCATTGAACATGTCGTCTTTTTTCAGAGGCCAACATTCTCGCACCATACAACATAGCAGGTCTAATCGCCGTCCTATAAAACTTGCCTTTTAGCTTCGTGGTACCCTTTTGTCACATAGGACACCAGATACTTGGCGCCACTTCATCCACCCTTTTGATTCTATGGCTAACATCTTCATCAATATCCCCATCTCTCTCAGTAGCATTGATCCAAAATATCGAAAGGTATCCTTCCTAGGCACTACTTGACCTTCTAAACTAATATCTTCTTCCTCCCGAGTAGTAGTGCCAAGTCACATCTCATATACTCGCTTTTAGTTCTACTGAGTCTAAAACCTTTGGACTCCAAAGTCTCCCGCATAACTCCAGTTTGATTCACTCTGTCCGGCTTTCATCAACTAGCACTACATCGTCCATGAAAAGCATACACCAAGGATGTCCCTTGTATGTCCCTTGTGACATCATCCATCACTAATGCAAACAGATAAGGGCTCAAAGTCTGACCCTTGATGTAGTCCTATCCTAATCGGGAAGTCATCGTTGTCTCCATCACTTGTTCGAACACTAGTCACAACATTGTTGTACATGTTCTTAATGAGCCCGGCGTGCGCCGTTTGGGACTTTATGTTTGTCCAAAGCCCACCACATAACATTCCTTGGTATTTTATCATAAGCCTTCTCTAAGTCAATAAAAACCATGTGTAGGTCATTCTTCTCCCTATACCGCTCCATAACTTGTCTTATTAAGAAAATAGCTTCCATGGTTGACCTTCCGCATGAAACCAAATTGGTCCATAGAGACCCGTGTTATTGCTCTCAAGGGATGCTCGATAACTCTCTCCCATAGCTTCATAGTATGGCTCATCAACTTAATTCCCCGGTAATTAGTACAACTTTGAATATCCCCTTTATTCTTGTAGATCGGTACCAATATACTTCTCCACTCATCAGGCATCTTGTTCGATCGAAAAATATGGTTGAACGGCTTGGTTAGCCATGCTATAGCTATGTCCCCGAGGCATCTCCACACCTCGATTGGGATACCATCCGATCCCATCGCCTTACATTCTTTCATCCTTTTCAACGTCTCTCTGACCTCAGATTCTTGGATTCTCTGCACAAAGCGCCTATTGGTGTCATCAAAAGAGTCATCCAACTGAAAGGTTGTGTCCGTATTCTCACCATTGAACAATTTGTCAAAATACTCTTGCTATCGATGTCGGATCTCATCCTCCTTCACCAAGATAATGATATGACATGTAAATTATTAGGAGAGAGAAGAGATGCGTTTCATCTAAGGGTCCGTTTGGATGTAGATATTAGAGATCCTGGAATTGCATTGGTACCAATATCAAATCGGATCGGGTATTGAAATGTATTGTAATACCAAATCATTATTTGGATGTGGATGGATTTGCTGGTCGAATCTATTGACTTGGCAAATACCAATTTATGTTTGGATGTGCACATCATGAAATTGATTTCTCCCACCTCCTCACAAATCACATGGCCTGGCAACAAGAAAAGATAGCCGCGATCCCACGAAAGCAGAGTGCCCACCTCGCCGGGCGTGGAAGATAGCGACAAGCGGGCTCCCTCGTGTGGAGTATCCGGGCACCCGACAAAGACGGAAGATGGCAATGAGCGGGCTCCCTTGGCGCGTTGCTAGCAGACTCGGGCACTCCGTCGATTTAACGAGGAGGCGGCGTAAGCGGACTCAGCTTGGCCCTCGCGGCACGCGAGGGAAGGCCACGAGCGAGCTCGAGCACGACCCAACACGTAGAGGATGCACGAAGAAGCTTGAGCTCGGGCCCTTCCGGATCTGAGGATGGACGCCCACCGCGACAGGTGATGACAGGGGAGAAGGGAGCTCGACAGGGTAGGGGAAGCAGTGACGGGGAGAAGAGAGCTCGACGCCAGCACTGAGGAGGAAGCTGCCTCGCCGCAGGTCTTGGTGGATCTGAGGGGCCCCGGTGAGGAGGACGAAGGGGCTGGCTGCGAGGGTGGAGGAGCTCTGGCGAGGAGGACGAAGGGACTGGCTACGAGGGACGGAGGGGCCGGCGCTGGAGTTGGAGACGACGAGAGACGGAGGGGATGTGATTCCATCCAATATGGAGGGTCTCGGCTCGGCATCGCTTTGGGGTCGTGCTACGTGAAGCGAATGCCACGCGGAATCGCGCTCAGTTTCTAGACTCCAATGCCAAGACCATCCAAACACGTGGAATTCGGGTCTACTATTTCCAATTCCAATGCCATGGCCTCAATGTAGACATCCAAACGGTGTGTAAATGAAATCTACCGCGACTATTTCCAATGCATTGTAAACTAAGTAAAACCCCACTTCCGAGTGTTTTGTTTCATGCCCACACTTGAAAACCGAGTGAAACTTCATCGTAACCATTTCATTTCATAACATCAAACAATATTTAAATGCATAACACAAGGCGCCAATGTTGGGAAATAGGGATCCCAACAAAGAGACAGAGAATGAGAGACGCAGCTCGTTATGGCTCGACTCCCGGATGTCGAAGGCCCCGCTCTGGGCGAGGGCCTTCAACTAGCGAGAGGCACGAATAGAGAAACGAACTTCACGCAATTACCGAGGTGACAATTAGGGTTTTGAATTACATGCCATCCCCTCTCTCTTGGATGACTGACTTCCTCCTTTTATAGGGTACGGCTACATTGTTTGTCGAGTACAGAAATGCCCCTAGGGCAACTAAGGTATATTATGGTATATTCTACACTGTGCTCATGCCTTGAGGGCATCAGAGTCTTTTTCTTTTGCTACCGCCTTTGTTGATGGGCCATTGTCGAGCATGGGCCTTCAGCCCATTATTCGTCGCACCACAGCCTCCAACTAATCTTCGCAGTGCGACCTCTGACTTTTCATCATAGCCTCTCATTGATCTTCATAGAGCCTCGACCTCTGACTTTTCATCGCGGCCTTTGACTGATCTTCAAATTGCCTTGACCTTCATCTTCCCATCGCGGCCTCTGACTTCATAGCGCCTCGGCCTCCGACTTTTCACCGTGGCCTCTGACTTCATCTTCGCAACACTCCGGCCTCTAACTTCTCATCGCGGCTTCTCACTGATCTCCATAGCACCTCGGCCTCTAACTTTCCGTCGCGGCCTCTGACTTCACAGCGCCTCGGCCTCTGACTTTTCATCGCGGCCTCTGACTTATCTTCGTAGCGCTCCGGCCTCTGACTTTTCTTCAAAGCGCTTGACTCTCGACTTTTCATCACGTCCTCCGACTTTCTTCATAGTGGTTTGGCCTCGACTTTTCATCCTGCCCTGCATATACCATGAGATAGGCTTTTGCAAAAGTTAGTTTCAATTTCGTGAGTCCTTCTATCGCAAGGCAACTCCCCAACAATGTAGACCTATGAAACTGTAAAATGAAACTTTGCACTATGTGTCTTGTTTCATTTCTTCACCCACACCTCACTCTAAGAATATGTACAA